ATAAATATTGAAGTTATGAAAAGACAATAAGTACATTAGATCATCTTCAAAGGAGATATCAAATTTTGAACCTAAAATTTAAAATTTGACAGCTTATGTGGCATTTTGACATATTTTAATGTTTTACTCTCCGCTCGATATGTCAAATTAAGCTATTATTTTATTACATTATTATTTTTTCTTAATTTCTATCTTAACTTTAAATCTTACATATAAATAATTCATAATAAAAGTCATATTAATTAATTCAGCCACAAATAATTCAACAAAATACAACCCCTTAATTGAAAATAGAAGAAATAAAAGTCCAACTCAATAATCATCACCTCTAAGAATTTTCATTTTAAGGTGGGCAATTTTTCCTTTAATGCATAAGGGCAATCAGATTGAAAAACAATGGGCGATCAGATTGCTAGGGCGGAGGATTTCGAGTAGAAAGCAAAGAAGAAATTGAGCAGCTGGGGATTTTTCGGTTCCAAGCATGAAGACGCCGCCGAACTCTACGACAAATCTGCCAATACCTACAAGCTCGCCAAATCCTGTGAGTTTTCTTCTTTCTGCGTCGTTGATTGCCTTCCGATCGTTTGATTTCTTTGTCTTTGGCTTTACTGCTGTGTTTGTTTCCCGAGAAAATTTGATTGAAGGGAAAATTGCAGAAGAAAATAAGAATTGGATGATCTCTTATTGGAGATTTTCACGTCTTTGGTATTTTGGGAGATTGAATTAATTCAATCATGCGTTTCCCATAAGCTTCGGTCTTTCTGGCTTCCTTCAGTTTCAGCGTTTCCCATAAAAAAATTTATATTTGAAGTTGTTGTCAAATTTGATAGCAACTTCTTTGTTGCCAATTCATGTCAGCGCCATATAGGAATTAATATTTCGGTTGGAGAATATTAGTGTAGTCTTTTAGTACTGTTATAGCTTATGTGGACATTTCTTAATCGTTATTTGCACTCAATCATCATACACTTGTTCCCAATGTAAACATAAAAAATAATAAAAAGTTGGTGCATGATGAATTTTTAGAGTGCTAAAAATATTCTTAAGCCAATGTGTTGTTTGCTAAGTACTATAATTTGATTGGAATTGCACCTTTCAATTGAATTTCGTATAAATCATCGAGATCAATGTGGTAGGAGAAAAAGAAAAATAGAAACTTATTTTCACTGATCAAGAACTACAAAAGTATTGCAGCTACCAAATCCGTAACTAAGAGCAACTCCACCGTTGCAAAGGCCTCCTAGGGCAAGTCACTATTGAAAAACCTTTAATGAATAGTAACATCCTTTTGCATCTCCATCCCTACACTGAATAGTCATGACAATAAGCAATAAAATGTTAGTTTATTTTATAAAATAATACAAAATAACTTTATTTGTAATTTCGGATAAGATTTTTAATCGTTCTAGTTGCGCCATGTGTCATTATCCGAGAAGACAATTTTTTGTGATAGATTTCGATAAGATATTTATCCAATGCCGTCGTGCCACGTGTCGTTACCTTTTCAGAATCGTTGAGTATAGATTTCCGATAAGATTTTTAACCAATTATGTCGCGCCATATGTCACAATCTAAAGACAATCTTGAAGGATAGATTTCGATCAGATTTTTAACGAATGATGACATGTCATGTGGCATTATCTACAACCTAATCCTTTATTTTTCATCCATATAACCCACTATCTAGAACCAGAAATCACACACCAAAATCAAAGGGAATTGTTATTAGCACTCCAAAAATCTCATTCAACACTTCAAACTTTCTATATTAGGAAAGAAAAAAAATACTCTTGTGAGGAGTGTAGAATGAGATTTTTGAAGTGCCAATAATATTTCCCAAATCAAAATCTCTATCATTATTCATAGTTTCTGCTTCATTTTTCACCAAAATCAAAATCTCTATTATTATTCATAGTTTCTGCTTCATTCTTCACCAAAATCAAAATCTATATCATTATTCATAGTTTCTACTTACTTCTTACAATGTCTTCTTCTTCAAGGATGTTGTGGGAAATCAAGGAGCAAGAGAAAGAATTGTTTAAGTAAGGTGAAGAAATGTTCAATCTCCAAGTGGCCCAAAATGAGATGGAAGACGAAGAGGATGGGGAACGTAGAAGAAGAGATGACGAAGTAAGAAGCTAAAGAGCTTCACATTCTTGTCGAGTCATCCAAGCTATGGCTTAGATCTGCAGGCCGTTTTGCAAACTTTGATAGAAACAAACAACGACGAGGTATGGATCTCTTGGACGATTATTTTGTCTGTAACAGTGCATTCCCTAATACGTACTTTAGACGTCATTTTACAATGAAACGACATTTGTTCAACAGAATCATGATTGCTGTTTGCAACCATGATTCTTACTTTGTGCAAAAGAATGATACTTTTGGTGTGTTATGGATCTCATTCCTGAGCAAAAAATTACTGCTGCCTTGAGGATGCTTGTATATGGAGTACCACGAGCCATACTATTTAACAGACGACATTTACCCAAGGTGGTCATCATTTGTCAAAATAGTGCCACGTCTGTGAAGTGCAAAAGAAAAAACACTTTGCAAGCTGTCAAGAGGGGTGTAGGAAGGATGTGAAGTGTTGTTTTGGTATCCTCCAAGCTCGTTGGGCGATTGCCATAGGTGCTGCCAAAATGTTTGATTTAAAGTCGTTTCGATCCATCATGATGACGTGCATCATTCTTCACAACATGATTGTGGAAGATGAGTACGATTATGATGTCATTGATGAATATGAGCCAGACACGATGAACAATTCCAGAACAAAAATTTATTGAGCTCATGACGCCACCGAAGAACTCGTGCAACACGAGCCATTACAAAGGGATAAACGTTACAATGAAAGGCTCATTCAACCCATATATGCACAATGCCCGGCAAATTGACTTGATAGAGCACCAATGGGAATTGAAACAAGCTCAAGAAACTTTTAAGTTCATTTAGTGTGTTTGTTTTTATTTGGTGTGTTTTTTAAGTTCATTTAGTGAGTTTTTTTTTTCTTTGTTTTCTTTAAATTTGGTGTGTTTATGTCCTTTGAATAAAGATTCTCTTAATTTAAATAAATTACCAAATTAAATAAATATACTCTTAGTTTAAATAAAGTACTAAATTCAATAAATTAGGAACAACATAAAGCACTTTATTCAATAAATAAGAAAGTACAACCCAAAGTGATTGGAAAATTATGGGTTCCGATTAAAAACAAATTCCCTAGTCCTTCGTGAATGGAAAATCATCACCTAACCAATTTGTGATGCTAGGATCATCTCCTCTTGTGGTGCTAGGACCGTCTCCTATTGTGGTGCTAGGACCATCTCCTCTTGCCATCGCTTCCCTTGCACGCCTCATTTGCATCATGTCTGTTTTCTCCGAATTCTAAAAATATTTAGAATTCGGTGACTTCCCCTCTAAAGGTTCCTTCATAATGTCATGATCTTGTTGAGCCATTTTTTCTTCTTTAATCTCTTCCCTTTCTTGCCTAAGTATCTCTTTTTCTCTCATTAGCTTGAAATAATTTCTCTCCAGCTGTAGCTTTTGCCTCATTCTAGCCTTATCAGCCTTAAATTTAACCATTTCCCATGCCAAAGTCAATTCACCTTGGCGAGCAAGTTCTTCCATGTATTTTCTATAATCATTCTTGGAAGCACTCCATTTTCTGTTTAAAGCCTTCTTACCTTGAGGCCTAATTGGATAACGGGTCGACCCCGACGCTTGTTCAGGGGGGCGTTTCTAGCACTTCTTCTACGTCATCTTTATGAACATGTGAGACATGATTGAGCGTAGAGTGTAAAAGGGTACTGTTTATGACAACTTCTGGACTGACAGACATAACTCTAAATTTAGGACAATCTTTGACAATATTCCAACATTACCACCGGCTGAATGATTTGTTTTTGCTTTTGGTCTTGGCATTATACCAAGCTTGTGCTTGAAATGTCTACACAATGCGGGAGAATAAATAATTATAATCAAAGTAGCTAATGTAAATTTGGGTATAGTACAAACAAATAAATAATATATTGTTACCTGATCCTTTAATTTTTCCCCACTTCGAAGATTACTACTAGTTTGTGCCAAGGCGTCTCTCCACATACTAAATGATTGGCTGAGTATTCTCCAACAACTGGATATCGATTCTTTTGTTCTTTTCCCACCAATTTTCTCAAGATAATTGGTATGAATAAGACTCCACATTTCTTGCAACTGTATCTCATTACTCGTAATCGAATCATGAGTAACTTCAACCCTGCTAGAACATAACGTAACATCTTTAATAAGTGTCCAATTCATACCTGCATCATTAGTCATTTTGTTAGAAAACAATTGGATTGAAACTTTGAGAGAAAGATAGGAATATGGTTGAAAGTATTTGAGAAAATATGAAATTATGGTGTAAGGTAGAAGATAATGAAAAGGTATTTATAGAAAAGTAAAATCAATTTTATTTTTTAATTTTTCAAAATTGTTTTTTGGATTTTTTTAATTATTTTTTACATTCTTTTTAATTTTTATTCACATAATTAATTTCTACCGTTGGATTAAAAAAATTTTGAAATCCAACCCTCCATATTGTGCCACGTGGCACAACGGTAAAATTTCAAAATTATTTACTGTGCTTTTTTTTTTAAATTTATAAAGGCGAATAACGTGGACCATTGATCTCAAATCCAATCGCTGAAATTAAAGAAGATTTGAATTTTTTTTTTTACCGTTGGAAATCCAACGGACGCGGAGCTGCCACGTGGCCTCCAACAGTAACATTATGCAGGCCTGCGCTGCGGGTCCCAGCGCCTTCCTAAAAAAATATTAAAACATGGCTGGCGTCGCCCTGACGTCAGTGTTGCATCACCCCCACCTCAGGCTCTCGGGCCCCTTCCTACGTAATCACCGGCATGGGTAGGACATGATTGCTGGGGCTATTGCCCCTTGTTCTGGAGCCGGTCCATCGAGCTACTCCACACAGTGGAGTTACTCTAACTGGGTCACTTACGTCAACCAAGCTTTAGATAGGTCCCAATTAAAGAGTAGAAATTGAAGATGTCTTTCCACAGTTTTCTTATAATTAGACAATACTAACTTTTTCGCACATGCATACAAATAATTATTTTTTATTTTTATTTATAAATACGCATTTGCAAATATGCTTGTCATTGTAGCTATGTACATATTGGTTACGATGGGTGAATATGAAATGAGTGAATAATATATAAAATAAAAAAAAGAAACTCACGAATTTCCTCACCAAAAGAGAAATTTGTAGTAATCCTCTCTAGAACCAGAAGCTCTGAAACACAAACTGAGGTAAAACCCTAGCTGCCGACCTTAGCCCTTGGCTTAGGTGCCAGTGGCAACCCCCCCTCCCTTTGTCTTTTCCTTATTCTCTCCTCTCATTCTCTCTTGCTCGTATTTTAGTTTTCCTTTCAGCTTTGTTTCGATTTTTTGAGATTGGTCTCCTCCTTTCCCTGAGCTTGTCTCAGTTTCGGGCTTCATGCCCTTTCTTTGGCGATCATCATTCTTTCTCCAACCTCCCTCTTTTCCGGCCCCCCACCTTTCCTTTATACCTCACCTCCTCATAATCCACCCACACCCCATCCTAGGCTTCTATCTTTGTGCGCCAAATCGAAAATGGATGCTAGATCCATCTCCCGTACTCACTTCCTTTCCCCCAGCAGGCATGCCGGAATCCCTTTGAGGCCAAGTGTTCAGTGGTTTCGGCAGAAGTAAGGGTATTTTTCATACCCCTTAACCTTACCTTCTATCCATGTGCTAATATATTTGTATATATTTGCAGGGATTTGTCATGGTGGTTCGGATCTAGTGGCTACTTCTCGGTTTGGCAGTGGCAAATTTTGGTTATGGTGTACTTTTAGTTGTGGGTTTGTAAGTTTTCTATTACGATGTTTTGGTCAAATTGACCACTTGGTTGCTTTCTCTAGTTTTGCTGCTTTGGTGGCTACTGGCAAGACGTTTGTGATACCGACTGCATTGGCAGACTGCGTTTGGAAATTAGGGATTAGGGTTTTAATTTGTGCTAGTTTGCTTATTGGGCTGGGCTTTATGTATTTGATTCCCCCAACTTGCTTTGGGTTACTTTTGCTTTCCGTTTGCATTGGTGTAACCTTTTCTACTTAATTAAGGAATGCTCCTTTTCGACCAAAAAAGAAATGAGTGAATAAATGAAGTTGTTGATAACAGTAAATTGGAGGTGTACAGATTAAAAACCGATGTTTCTTAGTACACGATGTCTATCAACTGATAGTGTTCTTGTCATTTTATTTGGTGTTCATGTGGAATGCTAGCCAATCATAAGTTAACTCGTTTAAGTGATCGCATCAAATGGTTCAACAGTAATCTTAGATCAAAACAATAATTTAATCTGTCTATTAATTGTCTGATGTTCGAGTTAACACATTATTAATTATGTTTAATGGACTGCTTAAGATTTTGCTAAGTCTACAAAGGCTGGGACGGCCAAGCATCAAACAAAAACTTGCCTCACAATGAGCAGGTCTGAGTCCAACAAACAAGCCTAACCTAGGAACTACAGCCACCACAAGGCCCCGAAAATTTCCAAATATTTTAGCATTATGTAAAAACAAAAATAAAAACAGAAGAACAGAAAGAGACCACTGTGATAGGGAAAATGTAGGGGCCATTTCAACAATGTAATATTTCAATTTCGACTGGGTTATCTAGTGGTGTGGGTGAGTAGGGTGATATGTAGAAATAGGTTAAAGATTCACGAACTCCTCATTTGTAACCTCAAAAAGGAATATTTCAATTTAAGGGAGGAGAAAAAAGCCACCGTCTCTCCTCAAATGCAGGATGAATGATGAGCCAAAATAGGGTTTTGCTCGTCTCTCGGAGTTAAAAGTTTTCCCTAAGCTCGCTATTTTTACCAAGGAACGCCTTTTAAGGAAATACACTAAATTTTTTTCATATCAACTCTATATAAGGACCTTCAAGGTTAATTCTTTGAATCAACGACTCTCTCTTTATCTTATTTGTACATATTTCACACGCGTGCACAAACACACACACGTCCCACAAAATCAAGATGGAGCGTTCCGGGCGTTTGTTTTCAACTGTCTTCATTCTCATCTTGCTTTTGGTGGCTATTGGTATCTTTCTCTTTCCTTATCTTAATTTGATCTTTATACCTAACAGAAGATATAACAGTATTTATATGTGTGGGAAGAAGTTCTGAATTCGAATATTCCTTCTCCCGTTGATAAAAAGGAAAACCAGAATTTTATAAAATCATATATGTGGTTTGACATATTGATGCATGTTTGGCAGGAACGGGGCCAATGGTTGCTGAGGGGAAGACAAAAGAGAAGTCGTCCAAGAATGAGAAATCATCGAAGATTTGTGAGTCTCCGAGCCATAAATACCGCGGTATTTGCTTTCGGTCAAGCAATTGCGCAACTACATGCAAAAAAGAGGGATTTATGGGAGGCAAATGTGCTGGCTTCCGGATGAGATGTGTATGCACTAAAAAATGTTAAGTCATACAAATGCGTATTTGGATGCATGCGTGGGAATAAAAGATTTTTTTTGTTTCGTTTGTTTGAAGAGAATAAATGACTGAACCCTAATTCACAAATTTGGAAAAGTAACCATATTTTGGACCCCATATAAAATTATAATCATCATTTTAGTTTTATGATAATTCTAACCAAAACTTAATGTAAAAGTAGTAATATACCCTTAATGACAAAAAATTTCCCATTAATCTTAACCATGAAAAAAGAACAATTAGTTGAGATCTTGAAGCATAAAAGAGGTAGCATCTTGAATACTACAGAGTACCCCTACTCTCGAACCCCTCCATTTCTTACACTCTTTTTTTTATTTTTTTTTTATCAATATATGTATAGAGTAGGTATAGATATTCAAGTGTAATCAGAGAACGTGAAAATTGAAGATAACCTAGTAAACTAAACATAAAAATTAATAAAAAACAGAATCTTCGAAGAAAAATTTGAATCTAAAAATAGAGCAGCAAAAACCCTTTTAAGCTAAAATCTATGTGAGGTTTTTCTTCTAAACTAGTGATTGAAAATATAAAAGCCAATAATGTAATAAATCCCGAATAATATAAAAGCCAATAATGTAATAAATTTCGAAGAAAACAATTCACATAAGAAGCTGGAATAGAGTCTAATTGGATTCTTGCAAGTTTGGTGATTATGGCCTGTCCCACCACAGCAACTGCACTTTTTCATTATCCTTTCCTCCCCTTGAGATTGGGATTCTATTTATGTTGCGTCTTCCAGATACAACTTGTCTAATTGGGCATAATACAACTTTATTCTACACCTCTTCTGGCACACTCCATTCACTCTTGTTTCCAACTGGCCAAATGGGCTTCGCATACGCTAACACAATTGCATTGGCTGTGTAGAATTTGGAGCACATATTGTACACTGATGTGTTGCGAATTCAACATGTAGCAGTTGCATGGACACATGGAAGTTGATCGAGATCAAACCTTCTACATGTGCATGTCTTGGCATTTAGGTCAACTATATGATATAAGTTTGTCTCATGTACTTGCAATTCATAGTGATTAATGGAAGATACCTGCATAGTTGTCAACCATGTGAAGAAAAAGGAAATTAAAAAATGCACACACAATACCTTGAAGAAACATCAAAACCGATAATATGTCTAACTCAAAACTTACATCTATTGAAGTCTCACTAATCTGGGCATTGTCTTGAAGAACTTGACTTGGTTGTTCATCACCCAAAATGTCATCATTCTCTTGAATTGCCACTGTTGGTGATGGGGAATTGCATGCAATTGGGTGCTTATCTTCAGGTTCATTTAGAGGATATGTTGTAACATATAACATAATCTTGTCAGTTTTGCAGAAAGACTTTCACATACCCAACTAGTCACATCGTCATTGTCAACAATCACCATCATATTTTGCATCCCTAAGTTGGTCATGCATTGATAATATACTGAGATTCTAAATTCACTCGGACTAACACGAAGACGTTGATATATACCATGTATAAGATCTTGATGAGTAACTTTGGTTGACACTACCATTGCTTTCTCTTGACCGTCTATGTATTGGCTATCAACCCTCCTCCATCCGTAGTGGACCATGGTCACAATTAGATTCATATTCTGAAGGGAAAAAAAATTAATTAGCACTTATAACTAACCTACTTATGCAAGGTGCCAAACAAAATACTGAAATAGTTGCTTTATTGGAGCTTCTAATTCTTAAATCAACTTGTTGATTTGTCTAAGGATTCATAATATATTCACCTGCATTGTAACTTGAAAATCATTAAAGTTTTGACTAAAACCATGATATGAAATATCAAAAAGTTGATTTAGGAATTGGAAGCTACAATTGACCAACCATACCATTGTTTCTTGGACAATTTGAAAACGTTGCTGTGTCCTGCTACCTTTTTTTTTTGGTCAAAATGTCCCTGCTGCTTAATTATGCAAAATGGGCAAAGAGTGCTCTTCTGGTTTAAGGTGAGAAACCATAAGGTTGCGAGAGAGTTTAAAGAAGGTTTTGTTTTTGTTGTGAGAAACCCCAATATTAAGGGTAAATTAGTACTTTTACATCAAGTTTTGGTCAAAATTATCATAAAACTAAAATGGTGGCTATAATTTTATATAGGATCTAAAATATGGTTACTTTTCCAAATTTCCCAATTCACAATGGGTTTCCATGTGCCCTTGTTTTTTGTTTTCTTACATTGAACGGACATGAGTTATTTTTATGTTTGAACGACTTAAGATTTTTCACTAATGCATTTTTCGTTTCAATTGTTTCTCGAAAGAGTGCCCGTCTGTCTCTAATGCAAATTTAGAAAATGAGATAACTTAATAGTTCTTGCCCACAAAATCCTCTCCCTAACAGGCTGGACTGGTCCATAAGAATCACAGCTAGCGGCTACAGTTAAAATGTGCTTGTCTCAAACTAGAATGCCAAAACCTTAATATTCATGGCCAAAACCTTTACGTGCCCATCTGTTTTACCTACTTATAGACTCAGCAATTTTTGACACGACACAATACAAAAATAATGGGTTTCAGGTCAACATAATAACTAATCGGGTCATTAACGGGTTCTTAATGGGTATACACGCGGGTAACACGTGAGTAACCCGATTCGACCCGTTAAGAAAAAAATTATTTTGATAATTTCAAAGTTTAATTACTAAAAGATTTATTATAAAATACAATATCCATATTAATATATACAGTATATTCTATATTAAATATATAGTTTTGTATTATTATTCTATATAAGTCAAAAAAAAAAAGTTTTAGTCATTATTTGTTTTTGTTATAAGTTCCTTATTATCATTACTAGGATAAATTTTACCTAACATGTTGTTGTCCAAAATTAAAATAAACTAGTATAGTATTTGTATAGGCAAGAACTAAGAAGACATACATACAAGTATGAAAAATGTGAACAAATATATAAACACTCGTGATTCATCATTATTCCTCCATGAGTAGTTAATGGTTACACTTACCTTATTGTTTAGATTTTTAAAATCCTCAAAATCCTCATGAATAATGTTTTTTATTTGAGGGAAAAATTAATAAAATTAATAATAATTATTGTAGAAATGTAAAAAATGTACAAAAAAAAAATATACAATCACTCATAGTGAACAGCTTTACAACTTTCATGAAGGGCCAGCTTGGAAATCCAACACTATAATCCATAACCCTTAAATTTATATTTAACCGTCGATTGTCATTTACACTTTATTCTTCTTACTGAATTTCATTTTTAAAATTTTCTTTTTTGAAAACATGATCATCTGGCGGATGTAAGAAGATGAATAGTTCAGATCTTTGATATCACGTTTCGATATTTACGGTTAACTGAAATATGAGTTGATGTCATATAATTTGTAGAAACTTTATAAATATCAAGCAATATTGTCACTAACTGTAAAACTCTGAATATAATTTCAAGGATCCAAACCATTCATCTTCTTGCATCATGTTTTCAAAAAACAAAATCTGAAAAAACAAAATTTGATGAGAACAATGAAACGTAAATGTAAACAACAATTAACAGTTAAATTTTGATCTATGATTTATATGATTATAGTGGCGAATTTCGAAGTTAAGCTCTTCATGAAAGTTGCAAAGTTTGTAATTACGATCGTTTATATATTTTTTCTATATTTTTTACACTTCTACATTAATTAAAAAACTATTAAAGACTTTACTTAATTAATTAAGCTATTAATTAATTTATACCCATTTTGTTTCAGAAGCAATGGATGCTAGAGATTCAGATTCAGTAAACCTTAGTGATGAGGAGTCCATGGAGATTATAATGGGAACAGAACAAGATCTTGGAAGCGAAAGTATAGACAATACAAATATGAGTCTTGCAAAGAAAAAGGCTAAAGCAATTAATTTAGGTACTCGAAAATATACGTAAAAGAAAAATACGTTTTTATGTTTTGGATGTGACAATATGGTATGTATATAGTTATTTAGTATTATTTTTTTCATTTGATTATTTGTTGGTTTAAAATATATTTTCCTTAAAGGATAACGGGTCGGGTCATATTACTTGGTAATATTATCGGGTAGGTTCATTTTATCCGTTTATTTTAACAGGTGTTACGCGACACGACCCGTTAATATATCTAGTATGACACGAAAATGACACGAACACGAAAAACACGACACGAATGTCAGGTCTACCTACTTACATGTCTCTCTGTCTCTCAAATCGCATGTTCCTATCATCGTGCCTATTATTTTGGCCTCTCCTGGGATTAGTACTGGACCTATGCATTGAGACTTCTTTGTTTTTTGTACTTTTAAGTGAGGAATACAAACTTGTTGTCTTGTAAGATTTTCTCTTTGTAAATTGTCCTGTACTTATAGGTTAGCCTTGCTTATTTTTCTTTTCTTTTTCTTGTCGAGTGATTAGAAGGTGCACCGATCCTCAAAGAAACGACTTGTTATTTGATAATAAGATACTATTTGATGCCTCTCTCTAGTGTGCGGTAGCTTGTGGAAAGATTGGCTAGAGTCCTGCTTGTATCAAACAATAAAAGAATGTCATTAATACTAATATTATTGGATGACTTTGATGTGGTCTCTAATTATCAATGTTCTTTGATTGAAACCTTTGTGATTTTCAATTTTTGATTGAAGTTCCTGACATTAATGGAATCATGTATTTCTAATTTTTAAATTAAAAAAAAATGAAATTTGTAGTTATTTATATTAATGAGATTTTAAATAAAACCCATAATTTATGGGATAAAAAATATTCTCCAATATATTGTGTGTGTGTGTGTGTGTGTCACATCTTGGCCTGGGTCCCCACCACATTCCGGGCTCGACTTCATCGTAGCACGATATTGTCCGTTTTGGGCCCCGACCACGCCCTCATGGTTTTGTTTTTGGGAACTCACACGAGAACTTCTCAGTGGGTCATCCATCCTGGGATTGCTCTCACACGAACTCGCTTAGCTTCGGAGTTCCGATGGAATCCAAAGCCAATGAGCTCCCAAAAAGCCTCGTGCTAGGTAGAG